AACGTCAAAAACGACACAGATATCACCAGCCTCGAAAATATCTTCACTTACATTTTGAACTTTAAATCTTAATACATAAAAGTTGTGTTGAATTTTCGGAGTGGTTGAAATAAGTTGGGAAACCATTCGAATTATTGTTGTTGTCCATGCGTGGAAGTCATTTGTATGTATGTAGATTAGAGGTCATCATACCGTTCTGTAGAGAGATCTTACATTATTTTTGGTAGACGGTTGACACACGGACATAGTTGCACTACTTTTGAAAGGTAAAAGCTACTCATAGCTACTTACAAATCAGTTTTGTTGTAACAGTTAATATTTATTGATAACAAAAAATGAGACCTCCATTTCTGTGATTGTATTTAGGTAATACATAGCAAATGTAACTTATAAAATAAATGAAAGCAAAATACATTTAACTGACCAGGATATATGTATAGTTAGTCGTTTCGTGGGTTATCCAACTAAACAGAAAGGAGGGTTTGTAGATTGCTGAGAGCTGAAGTTAAGGGTTTTCTTTGGTGAAAAGTAAAGTACAACATCCAGACTTTTGACTACGAGTATCGTGTTTTTTAGGGTTACAACCCATGTAGAAAAAGGTCTTAGTACCTAAAGCTTTTTCTAGTTCCTGGGATTGAGGAGTGCTATCCAATAAAATTTCAATTCAAAAATTTTGTCAAGTCATAGTGAAACACATCGGAGAAGCAGGATATGAACTTGTCTTTGTTCTTTTTGTTTTCTTAAGTTTCATTCTGACTGCAAGCATTTACTCTAAACAGCAACAACTAAGCGACTGATGAGGAATACCCTCAGACCTTGACAGTGATAACCAGAAAATAAAATCAAGTTTATAGTATTCGAAGCACCAATTTCTGCACTGTATGACATTGACGGATCAAAAAGCGCACAAACTCAGCGCGGTTACCTGGTGGCCCAAAACTCCGACATTAACAAATGATCGTTTTTATTCGGCGCCCGCGCACCGGATACACAGCGGTTCCTGTGAGAATGTTGAACTCGATTTTTTTAACCACCAAAAAGCGGATGTCCTTCGTCCGACCGGTTTATGAAAGGTGTTGAACATATGTCTGCTATTTTCAAAATGTAACCGATTTGAATTGTTTATTGATTACTTCTTAGTGGGGACTGTCAGTTGATTGATTGGGGGCAACGGGGTCGATACTCTGTACCTACCTACTTGTGTACGTTCTGATTGTAATTGTACTGATACTGTTGTTGCATTCCACTTTTGATAGTTGTTTAATATCTAATACCGTGCGGATTTGGGTTATCCTTGCGGATGCTATCATTATCCTGATATATACAAAATATTTGTTTGCTCTTTGACTCGTTTATTTAATCGTTATTTTTATTATAAATCGTTCCCTAGTGTCTAGACAACACAACAAAAACGTGTGACAAACAACGATCTTCGACTCTCAAAACAGAAGTTCAGATTTTTTTATGGAATAGGAAGCAAACGGATCAACTGATGGTAAGCGATCATCGCCGCCCATGGACACTCGCAAGACCAGAGGAGTCACAGGTGCGTTGCCGATCTTTCAAGGAATATTCTCTTTTCTTGAAGGTTTGAAGGTCGATAAGATGATATATATGATTATAGCAAACTCTCTAATAAACGGAGGCCTGCAGGTCAGCAGTGGACTGTGCCTGTGTTGTTGATTATAATGATAGTTGGCATTAATTTGCCAAATGGGTTGCTAACAGTAATCAAACAAATAACATCAACACAATTTAATACCTTTATGTAGAAAAAGATAACAACTAGTTAATGCATGACTTTATTTAAATCACCAGCTTTATTATCAATTTTAAACAAATGATACAAGATATGGAAGTGCAAAAAATATACGATGATTGCGTTAAATATTACAACGAGTATAGCAGCAAGTTATAATTTTGTTTAGAGCACCTGTCATATAATCACCTGCCTCTGTAACGCTGAGAAAAGGGTGTGGTCACATTGATACACGTTTTGGAAAAGGATTAATTATGACGTGACGTACTTGTGACACACAATTTTTTTTTAAGGAATAAGTCGGTGATCGAGCTCTCGGATCACCTGGTGGTAAGCAATCGGCGTCGCCCGTCTACACCCGAAAAACCGGTGGCGTTACAAGTGCGTTACCAGCCTTTTGGATATTAGGAATTTGAGGGTTGTTGGGCATTAAGGATATTAGGGTAGGTGGGGCCTCCAGTAACCTCATTTACGCGACAAAACATAACGCAAGCGTTATTTCACGTCGGTTCATCGGTATCACTCCAGTCAAGCTGACCCATGCTGAAGCATGGCTCTCCCACACTTCACAAATGACGCCATATTTGTTGTTCTTTAAAATTGTAGAAAATTGTAAACAATATTTTTTCGCTAGTTTTTAGATCCATTGCTTCATTTATTAGTTCCCCATCCCTATTTTTCTCAAGTTTGTCCGTTATGACAGTAAATTAATTTTAAGTGTGGGTTATCCATATTTATTGTTGTTTAGTAGTAGGTATTTAAAAATACTTAATTCCCTTCATTTCAACAAGTATTAATTTTCAAAGTAAGATACTTGACTCATGAATTCACAAAATACAGTTTTGTATCTCACATAAAAATGTATTTTTCGGTATTATTATTTTTTAAATTTAATGGAAGAAAATGGAAACAAACATCACATAGATAAATGGACTAAAAGTCAATATATTTTTATTATAAACAATTTGCAGTGTGCAGTTGTCCCGTAAATTGTCACATTAATTATGGAGAAGGTCATGGCTGCTATGCAAAATAAAAACAATATTAATATGTAGCTAGTAAATGTTCTAATCTAGACTAAAACACAGGAAAACTTAATTTGATTTTATGAGGTACGTCACTAATTAAAGTTGATATATTTAGTGGACAGATTGTAAGACTCAAGATTTAAAGTTTCCTTCATTTAGCATTATCGTTTTAATTATTGGCTTGTTGGAATCTATTTTCTTTTTTGTTTATCTAGATCCTTATTGACTGGTGCTGCATCGGGCAAATTCAGATTCATTTTAGATTACATCTAAGTAAATAGTAGGTGTATTTTGTAGGTTTAAAAAATAGCGAATGTAGAAGAAAAAGTGGTTTAAATTTGCATCCGATGGGACATAATAATTGCCTACTTAAATAGCAAAAGTTGGACATGTGAGTCAACTAGTAACCTTTTAAAGATCTGTAATAATATTTAAAGGCATTATAATTATCAGGTAAAATTTATCGGTAGTTAACACGTATGCAGGATCATTATATACTTAAATATACGTAAAAAGTTTATATTATAAATTCACAAATTGTCGCGTATCATAATTTATACCTGTACCATTCTGGGCATCCATCATCATCGTTATTTGTGTTTATTTGACTGGATGCTCACGCAATGTCCACTATTAATGTAATTTTAGAACTGTGCCACTCTATAAATAGTTTCCATTGGGTAAAAAGGTGGGTGCATACGGTAGACAAAAGGTGTTCTCGCCACGTGCGCGTGCGTCGCTCTGCGGCAGATGTCGCGATCACCTTGCATGTGTGCAGCACTCACACTAACACAGCAGCCCGATGTAACACACTCAACTAATTTTATTGTAAAATACGATTTGTGGTTTCGCTTTTGCTTCTTTTTCCTTCTTAATGATCGTCAAATATTTTTTTCTTATTTTACTGTCGATATAAATATACGTGACATGGTTCTTGCAAAATACAGGTGCAAATTGTTCTGGATGGTTCGATTGTCAATTTGTTATTGTTTGTCTTCTTAAAGGTATGTATCTTGATGATGGCTCCTATACAATTCGAAAAGAAGAGCTAAGTTAGTGGGAATTAATTCATGGCTGTTTATCAGCCATGCATGCTTCTACGTCCAAAAAGTACGACAAAGTGAAAAACCTTCTAGAAGATTGCATCCCATGAAGTCCTCAAGACATAACTGCTTGACAAACTCAAATAACATTATTACTTAGAAGCGACTTATTAGTTTGTACGAAGATGGTGTCTACCCCTGCATTATCCCTTATTACTTCTACGACACCCCTGGGAGGGGTGGCCCTACTTCTAACAAGAAACCGTAAGACGCCTATACAACAAACATTACTTAAACATAATATTGTTGTTACTTCTTAACCCTTCACCTGCAATTACATTCCCTCCAATCATATGAGATTGAAAGATTAATTCGTCGAGTACCGGTTTTGTAGACACAATTATAGAACAATAGGTTGCGGTCACCGGTGACCGCTTGGTGTTTGACAGTTTAATAAAGAATGCCTCTTACTTTAATAACACGTGGTCAAAGATGCATTTAATGTCAAAGTACTACTTATGAATACTTAAAATCGCGTTTAGTAAAAGTCGATAGTATCAAACAGGATAATAGTAGGCTCGTCCTCAATTACTTCATTCTGCAAAAAACCTTTCCCTCAAACTACTTCGGTAGGTACAGTGCTTGAGCAGCTGGCACATTCCACATTCTTTCGCTCACACCTGATCTTTCTACCTTCGATATCAAATAAAATAACTAAACCATTACACGGGGTACCTAGGTACTAACAAAAATAAAACAACCTGTATTAGAATTTGTCCGTTAAAAAAGAAAGAGCTTCTATATTTAAAATATCCGCAATTAAAAACACACGAACAGAAAGCGTGACAAAACGAGCTGACAATTAAAAAAATCTAAATATACAATATAATTTTCAGTAGTTGTACAACACTAATCGTGATTTTATCCATGAATGTATAATTAACACAAAAATTCTCGTTGACAAGTGACTATGTCGGCAGCGATACGGCGGCGTGAGTCACGAAGAGTTTCGCGCCAAACGGCTACAAACTTATCTACACAAAATCTACATTGTAATTTGAGTCTTATGCAGCGGAGTTGTAGTTTATTTTATGTTGAGCGTGGAAATGTGTGTGTTGAACAAATATCTGGCATGTAGGTGACGTTAGAACGGCATGGCAACATCGCGTCCCTGTGGCGTCGCACGACCGCATCGCTCCGTCTCGCTCTGATGTAAGTGTTAAAGTAGGACGGAGTGAGCGCTGCGTGGCTCTGTGGCGCGTCAGTATACTACGAGTTGAGAGGAAGGTCACAGTGTTTTATCGTGTAAACAAATATTTTCCTTAATAACAACTCTGGAACTATTTACGTAAGTTTTATATTATTTCAGTATCTGATTTTATTTTGTTAATGTACAACTTGTTGTATAATGAACTTTCTAATTAATTTACTTAAATGTTAGATATCACCGACTGATTGTAATGTAACTGTAATTTGAATGTGTCATGTGATTGGTGGATGGTAAGAAGTGCAATATGTCGCTGTATTTTTATTGTAAATTGTACATTATGTAATCGAATTTTAAACTACTTATTACTAAGTACCTACCATTCAATCTGTGTTTCGCGCAACCTAACTTGGCACAACGCGTGGTGATTTCTCCTTCTAACTGTGCATCCGAACATCAATTGTTAAAACCACTTTAACAACGTATCATCACGTCACGTATCTTTAAAGAGGCCAAAAAAATAAGTTGATCTATTAAACAAAATGAAACATAATAATATATGGCGTAGAGTTCAATCGAATATTTCCTTAGAATCGGAACCAATTTAAAAGTATATTTGTTATCCAATGTTGTACTTACCTCTTTCTTCCTATAACCTTTAGGCACGTGGTCTTTGTTTGTATGTAGGTGGACCACGAGGAACCGTGTAGTATTAATATGACTTTAATGGAATGCAACCAAGGAGTATAGATTAAATGTTATTAAAATCCTAATACATTTTTTAATTCATTGAAATATAATGTCTTTTTTTATCAAGTAGAACTGTCGAATATAATGGGCTAAGTAACTACGACATCAAATCAATGAAATTGTTAGTTTTTCGTTCTTAGTAACAGTTTTGAAACACAAATCGAGGGTGAAATAAACTAATTATACAAATTAACATTTTCAAATTATAATTTTATAATAACTATCGTAAAATATACTTAATTAACTAAAAATCGATTTTTAATTAATTCTCAAATCATTCAACAGGTAACCACCATGAGGGACAGTCAAAATCTGATGATTGAGTTTGTAAAAATAATCCAACGGTACCCAGAAATCTACGATGCAAGTTTGGACACATACAGAACTCGATTTTCAGAGATGGCTTGGACAAAAGTTGCGAATAATGTGAGAACAGAATTGAATGAAGAATGCACAAGTAAGTAGATATTCATTTAACCTAATTTAAGCCTTATTAATATAACAGGAAAGGAGATATTAATGTAGTCGTGTTCATATTTACCTATATGGGGGCATTGCAATGCCCCCGCCAAGTCGAGCGCGAAGCAAACACTGCCGAATTCTTTCAGTTTTCGTAAAACATTTTCTAACTGCAAAAATAAATAGAATGTCTACAATGTTATGTATCAATAATCATCAAAATGCCTTTATTATAATTAGAAATATATGGTGATTATTCCAGAAGTTAGAATGAAAAGTCACCATCTACTAGTCATGCCATCAATGATACTCTGTTATAAGTAGTAACGCAACATAAAACTTATCAAATTAATTGTCTTAATTTGGATTTGGCTTGCAGTTGAAGAACTCAAGGTGAAATGGAAAGGAATAAGGTCTTCCTTCAATAGATACAAGTCCAAACTTGCAATGAGCCCCTTCAGTAGTGAGAATACTTGCAAGAAATATTACCTATGCGATCACTTAAGATTTTTGGAACCCTTCTTGAGGTCTAAAGGGTAAGTTTCATATATCTACTTTTTTGTATTTAATGTACTTTTTTAAAAGAAAGTAAACATACCTTCTGTGAATTGGGTCCTATGAAAAATATAAATTCAAATTCGTTTAAACATTGAAAATTTAAACGAATTTGAATTTATATTATAACTGTCGTGAGACATACTGAATTAATTATAATGCATAATAATGGATTTGAAACTTATGATTGATCATTGTAATTAACTTTTAAACCTTTTTAGGCAACAACAAGAAGACCAAGATAAATCAGAAGTAACACACGGCGACGCTTGTAACTACGTTAACGTTGACGGTATTGACGAATCAAATGAGTATAATGAAGAAGAATGGAATCATATCGATATCAAACCTGACGTTAGTACCAGAGTAGACAAACAACAAGAAACAGACACAGTACAGTCTTCAAGATCAGGTGAATCTTATGATAGAAGTAAGAAGAGAAAGTACTCATTTGAAGGTCATTCAAGCACAGATGATGACAACGAAGATCTCACATTCTTCAAAAGTATCTTACCAGACATAAGGAATTTTACAATCAGAGAGAAGAGGAAATTGAAGATGGGAATACTACAACTGATTGATGAAATAGAAAAAGAGAAAGAGAGTACATGAGAGTTCATGTCGTCTTTGAAAGACTTTTAGATGTAAAAACTAGGCTTAGTTAGATAGTTTGTTACAATTAAAGGACTGAAAGATTTTTGAAATATTTATTGTTTTTATTTCTAATATGATTAACGCCCAACATTAATTGAAGCGGATGTGAGAATAGATTATGCAGATTATTATAGCACTACTCATAGTGTTACTACTTAGGACACAGGGTTGGAATTAGAAAACTAGGTTTGATCTTGACAACAAGGACTAGTTTCGGAGGCTACAGTTATTCCTTGTATTGTTACTTAGCTCCCACTAACTTTTGTAAGTTTCTTCATGAAAAACCTAGCCAATTTAAACAAAACTTACGGCTAACATTAGAGCTAAGAGGGAGCTAGAGTAACCGAAGTTGTAAACTCCATCCCAAAGATTATACACCAGTTCGCTAATTAAGTTAGTCTTGAATTTTATATCGATTTAGCAACATCTAGTTGAAAAGTTCCTTAAGATCCGATTTTGAATCTACTTCCATGAGTGTTGTTTTTTCATTAAGAGTCGTCTCAAGTCTAAATAGTGTGCGGCATGTCGAAGTCATTATCATAACGTATTACTTATCGATCAAGTATAACCCGACCGAGTTGTACGTCGTCTCGTCGCTCGGCAGTGCTGTTATCGCGTCTGCCTACCGTCATCTGATGTATAACAAGTGCTACCCTCATTTGCATGGAAATGAGATCCGAGAACATTCTCCTCGGCGCAACCCCCCGTCTTCTGACGCCTTCTTTGCTTAATTACAAAGATGACACACTGTGTGATATTCCTCACACCATAACTCTTTAAAAATTACCTCGGAAGCGAACTTTTACTTGAAACGTTAAAGCTATCGTGTATCAATGTTGCTGAGTGAATTAAACGTAACTAGCCCACTGCGATGTATTTGTAGTTACAGGTGATCAGTGACCGGTGCTAATTTAGTAATCTAAAAGGTCAGATCCGACACGTGAAAATTAATTACTCCTACAGATACTTAAAGGTCTTTTATACATACTTCTACAAAGGAATTCTACTGAGGCATGTCCGTAAAAAATCATTTAGTTGATAAGTCCATCAAAAAGTCGTTGGAACCGTCCTGTTTAATTAATAGCCATACAATTCGTCTATTTTTAGTCAGTTTATGCATGTAGGTGTATTGCATAGAGATGTCAGTATTAATGCTTTCATTTACGAAGTTTTATTTATGATATTTAATTGATGTATCATGGAAATTAAAAATACTGTTTAAGATAATGTCATGTGTTATCACAGAATGTTAATCAATGTTGACATAATTAATGCAGACTGCAAACACAAGAAGTAAGTAACTGCATGATGAACAATATGATTGACAAAATCAACAAATTACGAAAATCACTCGAGAAATTATGCAAACTACTTTCAACCTAAATTCAATTTCCTTAAACCACACAATACAAGGTGCGTCGCTTGATTAACTAACTTCCTCAATAGAACAGCTGACGATAACGTGATCTTAACTAATTACCTCGCTAGTAAATCGCTTTGTTTCCGACATAATGCCAAGTATTTATGTATAGACATAATTATACGGAATTCACATCAGTATTTCGAAGCACGTGAATCGCCCCTCTCTCCGCTGACCGCCCTCGCGTTCAGGCTAATACCATTACAGTAATTAGGATATGCTTAAGCATAATTAATGTAGTCATAAACTACGCACCTAGTTTGTTGTTGTATGATGAGGAAGCCGAATTGTGTTTGCTTTTCTAGGTACGGTCAGGTGAAAAACTTATCATCTTATATCTTCAGTGATCTTTAATTATATCAAGAAGTTTTTCAATCGATGGATCGCGATACTATTTAACCTTTTATTAAGTTATCGTAGGTAATAAAATATTTTATGATCCCTGTTCCACCTATTGGTTTTGTTACTAAATGGAAAGGTTAGGAATTGAGTAAATTTTTATTTATCTGTATCATCTATCGTCTACATAAAGCCTGAACAAAAAGAAAATGAAAATTTTGAATTGCCGAACGGTCACAAATACATACATATAAGACACTTAAAGTTGGAAGTACCTACTCTAAATACAAAAGTACTTAGCTACCTCGTTATCTCCATAAAGCGTAATTTACAGGGCACAAAATAATTTATTAAAACTAAACATAATAATGTATGGGGAGAGCTTAACAGCAGGAGACTAAAACGTAAATCTTGTCCACAAGCTTACTTGTACCACTTAACGTGTTATACTCAAATGTTTATGTGCGTACGTGTGTCATGATTGACGATCATGCACTCCATTTTTATAAAAAAATATCTTTACAGTCCCTTGAGCTACCTTACAGGTACCTTTTTATTATTTAAACTAGAAGAACTCCGTTTTTGCGCTCAATAGATGGCGCTAGTAAAACTTAAAGTCCTGTTTGTTCAATTACAGATGTACAGAGATGATTGGTTTTCAATTACCAGTATACTAGTCAAATTCATCGCATTTACCTAAACGATACCTGTATTCAACTAACAATTATTTATTATTTTGTCAAGCATACTTGCCTCATAATCAACTCCTGCGCCTTGCTACGTCTATTATGTATATTATGATTTTGTAAGAAATTCAAAGTCAAAACTTTCAAGGAAAATATTTCGATATTTTCTTATATTTTTAACCTTAATGCTTTCAATAATTGGAAGATCCCTGCATTTTTGTAGTCACCAAATAATTGGAACACTTTCGGCTAAATCAACCATACTACAAGGAGTTAAGTCACCTAATTAACAGTACGAGTTCCATCCAACTCAGAGCGTAATAGGCACTGCTAATTCGATTATAGGTATACGAGTGTGCTACCCTGTATATAATCACGTACATGGGCCGCACAATGGCCGTACGACTGAAGATCAATACTAGTTCATTAGTGTGTGAATGCATTACTTAGTACTCAAATGTCAACGGTTAAATTAGTATTTCTTGCAACTTATGACTGCCAACAGTTACCGAGAAACCTATGAGGTGTTGTAATGCAATTTTCTGCTGAAATTGTTGAAGCAAATGGAGTAACATTGGGTTAGTATGAAGTTTAATTGAATTTTATAGCTATTACAACCGTGGGCCACGTATGTAATGTTAAACGTTACGAAGACAAATAGCTCAGCCATTTGTGGTGCCGATGAATAAAAATATTGTAAAGTACCTACTATAGGATGGGATCTGGATACTATAGGATGGATACTGGTCTGACCATGGTCAGTAAATACGAAGATTTACCTCAACATGTAGATAAGGTACCATTGGTTTTGGTACCAAAAGAAAATTTTGCGGAATTACATGTTCTGCTGCAGAGTGCTGCAGGCAGAATTCATTGCAGTTTTAAGTAAATGCTGTTAAATTTCTAAACAGGTAAGGTTAATCAGTGCTCGAAAGCTTATCAGTTATCAGTATCACTGTCTTTGTTATGAGAATTTTATTCCAATTTCCAAGGTATGTTTGAATCCTCCTATGGTCATATTTTTACCGTCGTTATCACGCTCCAGTATTGTTCCCATATCTTCTTCTCATACATTTAATCATTCCTTTACGGTAAGTACCTCTTCACTAAAGTATATTCGAAAATAAAATTGATATTCAGCATTATCGTCAGGAGCTTCTAGTTACATTAGTCTTAAGTATTCATTAGAAAATACTACATCATTATGATATTCACCAGTTAGTTGAATGTGCAATACGGTAAGTTCGAGCGGTGAAGTGTGAAACCGGTCCGGGACGATGTCCTGAGTCCCGACATTCCTGGATGCGCTCACGCACTCAATTGCACTATTTCGCTTTGGACTTTTCGACGCGCGGGTGATTTGAATTTTGCAAATTAAACGCTCATTGTTTTTGTTTGGAAATCGACGATCCTGCTTTTTAGGCAATGGTTTATTGCCATGAAATATTTTGTTTCTGAATTTTAGATGCGCAGACGCTTCGTTTGACAAAGCAAGCATTTGTTTTTGTTGGTAATGTTGCAATGATTTCACTTTGATGATCCGATTTGTATTGAATGTTTATAGTGTCTGCGGTTTTCCCATTGCATTCCTATTTACATTTGTACTGATGTGAATATGTATTTTGTTGACATGGAACCAAGCTTCTGATAAATAAATAAATCACTTTGCTTTATTTAAATTCGTTTTCAGATATTTCTATTTAGCAGGTACATTGTTGACTTTTGTAATTCATTTAAATGATATTCTATGATTTATCACACGAAATACATAATTAAAAAGGCAAACAGAAGTAAATATGGAGCTATCTGTTAAGGTGTCAAACCAAACGATATTGGTCTTCTAGAGTCAATGCAGCAATCATTATTTTGTCGTATTGTTATTAAAACAGCAGAAATTATACTACAGCAAGTCTGAAGATATTTATGATCGTAGGCGTTGACTGAACTTCACTACACGTAAAGTGACTAGAGGCCCTCTATCGGCAGAACAAAGACAACTTTATAATTTCACACGTAACCTATATGACAACTATATATAGCTAAATTTAATACATTTAGAAATCTCGTAGGTGGAATAATAATCTTAGTTTTCCTCAGTACCTTGTTACGACCTGAGTGGGATGACGAATAACTGCTAGACTGCACTACCTACACTCTTCATTCGCTTCGTAAATACACAGCGTCGTAAACCAGAGGACGTTATTTTAAATTGTTTGATGTTATTTAATTCTAAAGTCATTTGTTGCGAACGCAATTTGCCGCCTAAATGCCGAAATTAATAAGTTTGTACATTTTCAAAAAGTCGCTGCTGAAGTAATCGCTTTACTTGGTCCAGATGATTTTAGATATGCCCAGCCACAACGGGCAGGCAACAGGGACGGAGGATTTTAACTGCAACTGGTTCGAAAAAGACAACATTTTCCTTTCGCAAATGTAAAGTGCCTTAAAATGTTACCCTCAGATACTTAAATAACAGCCTTACTTCAACTGCGAACAAGGTTCACTTTTAAACGCGTCGGGAAAATGGATATTGCAATTTCTATTTGAACATTGAGGTGGCTACACATTTTTATTTGTGGGAAGAAGGAGACAGAGCGTGTCTGTATG